GGGTCTTGCTTTGTAGTTCAGCTGGCCCTGGACTCCCTGTGTAGCCCCAGGCTACCTTTGAACTCAAGTGATCTTCCAGTGTTGGGATTACAGGTGTATACCAACTTGCTGGGCTTCTCTATCTGTTCTTATCAGCTTTCATTTGAGGTCTACAGGATAGCTACTCCTACTTGCTTTCAGCCTCCTTTTACATGAAAAATCGTTTTGCATAGTGTGACATTTAATCTACACCTTTTTTACTATTAAACGTGTTTCTTGTATACAGAACACATATGGTTTTGTTTTTTGATGCAGTCTTCCAAGATGTGTCTTTTTTGTTTGTTTGTTTATTTGTTGAGACAGGGTCCCGCTATGTAGTTGAGACTAACCTGGAACTCACTATGTAGCCTAGGCTGGTCTCAAACTCACAGGGATCCTCCTGCCTCTGCCTCCTGAGTGCTGGGATTACAGGAGTGTGCCACCAAGCCCGGTGATCAAGCTATATCTTTTCATTGGAGAATTAAGATTACTTATATTGAGAGTTATTACTGAAATGTATTGATTTATTCCTGTCACTGTGCCATTTTCCTATTGTTCATGCCTTTATTTTCCCTTTTGCTTAACTGCTCATCTTTCTTGTTCTATTCATTCCAGTAGACCTTCTGGTGTTAATGTCCTCATTGTCTGTCTAGAATATCCTTAAGTGCTTTCATAACATTGGTTGCATAGTCATGAATTTCTTGAAGTGTTTTTTGCTATGAAAGTTTCTTAGTATTTCTCCATCCATTTTTTTATTTATTAATTTATTGGTTTTCTTGTTATACAATATGCTGACATTCATTATTAAGAATTTGTACCTTTACAAATTTACAAATTGCCCTCATAAAACTGCCTTCATTGTGTTCACATAGATTCTGATATGTTGTATTGGCATTGGCATTTAATTGTAGAAATTGATCTTGCCTCCTTGGGTTTCTCTATGTCTCACTCATCTATGTCTAATTCTTTTCTCATATTTGAAAATATTCTATGATATCTGCAAACATACTCTTATACAATTTGTACTATCTTCTAAATTATTTTTAATTACAGTTAATCTTTGTTTAGTCTTCTTTGTGCCATCTTGCAACTGTTGGATCCATTTTCCATCAACTCTTGTTTTTATTTTCAGATATCCATGAGTACATGGTCACTGCATTTCATCTCATCTTATCTTCTAATTCTCACACTCTCTTTTCATAAAGGAGTTACCACAAAGGAATTATAAAAGTTTGCAGTAATGAAGATACAATGGACACATGAATGAATTCACCACATTATGGCCATAAATATGTACAATTATGTGGCAAAAGTTTGAAATATCAAATATTTTAGCGGAAATACAGATAGAAATTAAGCACCTGAAAAAGTGCTTAGCCTCAATTGTCACTAGGGAAATGCAATCTAAATTCATAATGACCATGATTATGCACTTCTAGAAAGGTTATGATTACAAAGATTAACAAAATCAGAAGAATGGAAGAATATTGAACTAGAATTTTCATTAAATGCTGTTAATCATGTTTAAAAGAAAAACTGCACTGGAAAACACTATGACCTCTTCTGAATTAGGTTGTGATACATCTACATAATTCTTCTCATTGAGCAGCATTTAGCCAAGATAAATAAAAACATATGTCTATCCATAGTTTTGTACACAAACACCCATAGCAGTAACATTGGTCAGAAGCCAAAACTGAATACAACTCAATTTTCTTCCCCCAGTGGAATGGAGAAGCAAAGCATGGAACATGGAAACAACGGAAAACTACTCAGCAATAAAAGGTAGTGAACCAGTGATACAAGGAAATGAGCAAATCTCAGTACAAGTGTGCTCACTAACTATACAAAACATTATGAAAGAGATATAAGAAATATTGCAAATTATAGATGAATTTTATGATATACTTTGTGTACAGGTCTATGTTTGTATACATGTGTGTGTGTGCATATATATATATATATATGTATATATATACATATATACATACACACATATACACACATGAGAGTAAATATGATAGACATATCTATAGACAAGTCTTCCACACATTTTGGTACTGTGGTGAAGAATATATGTTGAAGAAGATATATATGAAGATTTACATACATATGTACATAAAATATAAAAAATTTGAGTTTTAATGCATGGTTATCATTTACTAAGTACAATTCAATAAAACTTTTAAAAACTACTAAAATTTCCTTTTTGCATACACCTATATAGACTATATTAGTAACTTTAATATACATAAATGACATACAATATATATCATCTATATTACATGATGTATAATATAATATGTAATATTCTCAAACAGGAACAAAGTTCAGAGAACAACCAATAATATTAAACATCTGAGTTTTTATTTTCAAAAAAGAGATTATATTATCATACATATTTACAGAAAAAATACAGTACATATTTAGTGATATAAAATATATATATTTACAAAACTAAATGTGGTTTTGATCATTCATACTTATTGCCAGGATAGGGTTAAGGAAAACTAGAATTTAGCAATAAAATTAAAATTGCTGAAGGGCAAAGTATTTGAAATGAATGCCACTCCCCCCAAAAAATTAAGATGGTGTCCCTTGGCCTCTCTAGGTAAAGTAATCAACAAAAGCCAAGTTCTTCATCTCTCAGGCTTGCTCCCTATGGATTTGAACTGCTCTATAATCACACAAGACAAAAAATGTTGATTATTGAGAAGCTTTGGATATTGAAGCCCATGGTCCACAGAGACTGCAAATAGACTACCTTTTGCTGCACTCCCAGAGCCTCACCCAGGTTCAGAGGCAAAAGTCCTCACCTGGCTCAGCAACTGGCATTTCTGCACAGAAGCCAGGTACTTCTCTTAGCTTTTGGCATTCTCTGAGAACAGAGTTCCCATATATCCCTGTCACATCCAGCCAAGATCTGAATGTCCTTCCTCAGTGTTGGCACTCAGGTAATGTTCAGTCTGGTGCTTTAACTTTTGTCAAAAGTGTTTCTCTACAGTCCCTATTGAGGGCTAGGGAATGAGACATGAGAAACGTGAGCAGATCTCAGTCAGTTATGTGGTGTCTGCTTAATTATCATCTTCAGAATTTTGCCTCTATTATACAGCAATATTGGAGTAGTTTTCATTCTGCTTGTGTGTAACTCTGACCCTGGGTTCGAAGGATGTTTTTTTACCCTAACTGTAATCTTCTGTTGCTCACCTTGAAGGAGGTTTTGTAATTCTGTATCCAAAATTCGGCAAGATGCAAAGATATATGGCCAGCTATCCAATTATAGAGTACATCCTTAGCTGACACATTTTCCCTGTTCTTGATTATTCTACAAGGCAGCAGATGGAAAGGATAGCAGATCTCAAGACTCCACATTAATTTTCATGTTATTCTGTGATAACTTAAATGGCCAAAGAAAAATAGAGAAGAAATAAACACAGTATCACATTTAATCATAGCCAGTGCTATTTTGCAAGCAGAGTTCCTTTCTTAAAATAGAGAAAAGCAACATATCAATAGACATAATATTTTTATTCTCCACTTCCTCATTTTGCAAAGCTAATTTTCCTTCAGATGTTATTCTAAAGTTAGGCCAATGCACAGTATTATAAGAGTGTCTGTAAATGTGCATGTAATGTACAAATATATATGTGTGAGCTTCTGTAATATATATTTATATAATGTGATGTAACTAGACTTTAGAATTGGTATGGTCATTAAAATTAATGAATCAGACCAAAAATATGAACTCCAAAATATAACTAAACATACTACTTTTGACAAACCAGTAAGAAAATACCAAGTATAACATAATATTTCAACTAGAAGGTGGTCTATCTTACACATGGAGTCTATAAAAATGTCAAGTTAGGTTTTGGTACCAAAGAAAGTATTTAGTATCTACTCGTGTGTCCTGTTTATTTTACTTTAGAGTATAAACTCAATGTGCATTCATTTAGCTATAAATGTCCCTAGTTTCTTATTGTTTGTGGCTGAGTTGTATTCCATTTTATAGAAAAAAACCCCACATCTTCTTTATACAGTCTCCAGTTGAGTTATTTTTAGTTATTACAAATTTTAGTTATTACAATTGTGTCACTATATCATGAGTACATATATATCACTGTGATAAGATTCTTTTAATTCTTTTGGAAAGACATCCAGCAGAGGGATAGGTGGCTCAAATGGGACATCTAATCCTAGTTCTTTGAGGAATCTCCATATTGATATCCACAGTGGTTGCTAAAAGTATAAATAAGTTTAAAATTGTATAATTGACAGTGTGAAGCAATAAAAACAATGGTTAAAAGGCAAGTGGGGAAGGAGAGGGTAAAGGAAACAAGGAAAAAGAAAAAAATATGAAAAAAGAAGAAAATGGAAACAAACTCTTTGTAAATAGGGAAGGGTGAAGGGAGGGCAGGCCTGTGGGGAAAAATAAGAACCAAGACCTATCATGTAATGGTACAAGATCCCAATGATAAATGTAACTGTATTTTTTGCTTTAAATGTACCAATAAAATTAACAGAGGAAAAAGTTAACTTAAAAGTAGACTGATGAATGGTAGGCATTTGGAAAGATTCAGGGAAGAGGATAAAAAATGGTGTATTTTTATCAAAGCACTTTGCATGCAGGTATGGAAATACCACACTGAATTCCAGTAATGTACACAATTAATATTTTTTAAAAAGGAAAGAAAAGCAGAGCGTGGTTTCCAGGAAGAAAAATGCAGTGTTTTGAAACTGCAGAGGAATAATCATTGCCAAGTTAATGGTGGGCAATGGTTCCTTTGTGAAGAAAATTCATGATCCTCGTATGACTGAGACTATGTGTAAGTAAATATGTAACATTTTATATCTAATGCAAACATGAAAAATTAGTTTAATTATTACTGGAGTAAACCTAGGTATTTAAATCATTTGAAGTGTCTTTCTTTGTATTTGAAATATAAGAGATTAAGAATTAATATCAGCGGTGTCATGGGCAGAAATGGGCAGAGTCCCTGCAGTCCCGGGCCTGCCTATTCCCAAACACTTGGAAGGTTGTGGAAGCATCAGATAGAGATAGAAATCATAAAGGCAAAGTTTGCTTTGTCCTGGTTTTTGCTGGATTAGAAAACTTTCTGCTTGCAGCAATGGCCTACAACCGCTTCATAGCCATCTGCAATCCACTTAGGTACAAAGTCATCATGAACTCCTGCCTGTGTGTTTTGCTGACTCTGTTTTCATTGCTCATTAGCACTGTAGATGCCCTGCTGCACTGCCTCATGGTACTTCATCTTTCATTCTGTGCCGACCTGGAAATCCCCCACTTCTTCTGTGAACTGGACCAGGTGATCAAGCTCGCCTGTTCTGACACTCTCCTCAACAATATCTTGGTATATGTAGTGACCAGCATATTGGGTGGTATCCCTCTCCTTGGGATTATCTTCTCTTACTTTAAAATCACCTCTTCTATTCTAAGAATGCCCTCAACTGAGGGAAAGTACAAAGCATTTTCCACCTGTGGGTCTCATCTTTCTGTTGTTTCCCTGTTCTATGGGACAGCTTTTGGTGTGTACAACAGCTCTGCAGTGACTGACTCATCCAGGAAGACAGCAGTTGCCTCAGTGATGTATACAGTGGTCCCTCCAATGTTGAACCCCTTTATTTATAGTCTGAGAAGTAGAGACATAAAGAAAGCCTTGAAGAAACTTATCAGGACATCTCACTTTTTGAAATTGTGTCATCTGCTTTAGACTTAGAATTCTAAAGAGAATCAAAGAAGAGGGTCATATGGTGAGCCAAAGTGGCAGACCCTTCTATAACTATGTGCTTAAGAGAAAAGTGTTTTGTCTTAGATTAGATTAGAAAATTGACCTTGGTGTTCTATATCGTAGAGATTCACAAAAATGTGTTGTATTTCTAAGCTTTATTTCCTGGTCAGTTTGTGTGGAAGTAGAACCTGAGCAAATTGTTATTCTTGTAGTAGCTGGGGAAGGGGTTGCTTCTCAGAAGAATGTTATTAACAGCAGGATTAGGGGACAAAACATGGAACTAAGAAAGTATTGCATCATAGTTAAAGAACCAGCCTTAATCCATGGTTAATGCCATATATATGTTTTCCCTGAAATATTTTTATCTGAAGGCCTGCTTTATAGCCCCCTGTGATATTGTAAGCATTGTTACCTGGGCTATGACAATGGACTTCCTGACAGGTTTCTGTTCAGCAAAGGTAATTTGCTAAAGAACAGCGCATCTATTCATTATCATTAGTACATGCTGTCATTACTGAGGCTGGACTCAGTGATTAATAAAAGTGTTGTTTTTATAGCACTAAATATAACGAACTATGTTTGACTATATTCCTTCTCTTCCTCTAAATGAAATTGTTCTAAATTTCCTATTCTAGAATTTAACATGATTAACAAATGTTTGAATTCCACCCATGAGAATTGCTGAGTCTCAAATGTTGCAAAAGTGATTCCAATCAAATTTGCTCAACTAGGATGAACATCTTATATAAATTGAGTGAAGGAGGGGTGTATCTGGGCAGAGCATACTGGGTTCAAAACATCTGTTATGTCTTCTCATGGCCAAAAAATAAAGCCCGAATCAACTGCAGTTGTCTTATTCTGATGTGACACTGAGAGACAGAAAGGTGGCTAGGTTTTTCTTGAGTCTCACTTTAATGGAGTTATTCAGACCAAAAGTGTAGACCAATATTGTAGAACATATTGGAGACTAAAATTGGGACCTCTGCCCATCTGAAAGCTAATCCTTGGTGAGATGAATTTCCAGAAGAGTAGACTAAAAAGCTCAGTGGTTCACAGCCCTTATTGTGTAGTTGAATCAGCAGGACAGCTTGTGGCAAGTTTATTTCCTCCAATTCTGTTGTTCCAGTCCTGAGAGATTGGACTCTAGTGTGTTGAGTTCGTCATGAATATGCATTTCTAACATAATCTTATGTGATTCTAACATGAGCAGTGTGAGGATGGCCTTTTCAATGCTACGGCATTTTGGTGTCTCTTAGCAGAATTCCTGGAAAACAGAAAATACTCAATAAATTTGGTATGATCATATTCCATACCTAGCCTCATTTATTGTTTTATTGCAAGTAAAGAAAGCTTGAAACAATTAGAAATATGATAACATGGAGAAAGCCCAAGTTCTCAAATGCCTTCATCAGGTATATCTTACATATTTATTTGTCAAAAGTTGTGTGAAGTAACTTTAAATATGTGCATGACTCACAGTTGGAGAAAAATAAACATCAAATACTGAAACTACCATGTTATGAACACTTTTTTGTCAGTATGTATGTGTTGTGGGAGAGAGATTGACAATTTTATTTTCAACTAACTATGATTATGAGCAATCATACCTCACAGAAAGCAGGATTTCAACATTTTTATTGTTGGTATAGTTTTTCAAAGCCTAAGTACATTCATCTTGGATAATTGCTACACATACACATCAAATCATTTTATTATCTATTTAGTTTATTAGTACATGTGTGCAGTAAGTGTGCAATGTTTATATTACTTTAGCAAAATTAGGTCCAAGTACACAACTCATCTTATATCCTTTTTTATCAATTTTCCCACCCCACCATCCTCCTTGACCCCTTCTTTTTCTGAATGTTTGCATATTGAATGTTTACTTCCCTTGTCCTCCTGATGTGTTCTTTTCCTCTCTACTTAGATCCACTTCCTATCATCATAGATTCTACATTTAATTTTGTACTAACTTTTAATAAGTATTTGCATATTGCAGAATATATGAATGATTGTTTCATGGATATCTGTGTTTACTAGTTAAAGATTTAATTTATGTTTATAATCCTATGTATTTATAAATTTTATAGGTCTTCCTTTTTTTTGGAAAGGTCTGTAACAGGGCTGGGGATGTAGCTCAGTGGTAAAGCTTTTGCCTAACGTGAGAAATCCTGAGTTTCATTAGAGTAGTGCGTTAATGAGACACTGTTGATGATGATGATGATGATGATGATGATGATGATGATGATGTAATAATGACAATGACAGTAATAGTCTATAATGAATCATCATAGCAAGATTGTGAACGTTTAAATTTTCCATGGAATGCTGTATTGTTTTATAACTCACTGCTGCTTTCCTTTACTATATGTTCAGAACCTTGTAGCTCTATGAGGTTTTACAAGACAGAATTACCTGTGTATATTGCTGAACATTGGTAAAGATTAAAGGGACCATCTATACACATCATCAACTCCTCAGTATTCATCTTTAGTGACTAATTTCCCAGTTTATCCCCCTGTATTATTAAAGAAAAGCCCAGATCCTAACTGCTAAATTCTACATGACATTTATAGAAGAGCTAATGCCACTACTGCTTAAACATTAAATGGATAAATGTATAGGGGAAATGGGAAGGGAATTAGTCACTGAAGATGAAAAGGTACAAGATCTCAATAATGAATGTAACTAGAATGTATACCTAAAATGTACCAATAAACTCAATTAGGAGAGAGAGAGAGAGAGAGAGAGAGAGAGAGAGAGAGAGAGAGAGAGAGAGAGAGAGAGACTGAGAGATGTTAGAAGTAATTCTACATGATTTTTGGATAAATTGTTTGATTTTACCTATTTCTCCTCCCTACAGAGCAGCTAAGGCATGTGGAGATCTAACTCCTTTTTGGCCCCAAGTCACAGCTAGAACCTCAATGGTCCTGTGATGCTGTGATGCTCCAGGACAAGATTATACCAGCTGAAGACATCCTCGGAGGAGCAAAACTTTCACCTGCATAGCTCTGCTTTGTTCTAGAATTTTGGCGGCCACTGCCACTTCCACTACTGCTTTGTTGCTACTTGTCTCTGAGTGACCTTTTACACTTGCTGCTCTGAAGGACTGAACTCTCTGCACAGAGACATCTGTTACATTTGTTTCTCCTGAGGGACTTTGGTCTTTGTTGCCCAGAGAAGAATGGATCAGTCCCAATGCTCAGCTTCTTCTCAAAGTCTCATTTTCTCTATCTTTCCTGTATAATAAGTTATTTCACCTTGTGCTGCCATGGCTCGCTGGAAACTAGGACTTTACTGCAGAGGCTCTAGGAACATCCCCTTTCCCTGTTCCCCACAGGCCACCATCACAATGAGGAGACAACACACAATGGGGAATAAATTTTATCAGATGATCCTCAGGCAAAGATCTACTATCTAGAGCATATAGAACCTTAAAAAGCAACACTCCCCATTTTAAAGACCAAATTCAAAAATGGGCATCTAAAAGGAACACATTTCTCAGACAAAGAAGTAAGAAAAACAAACAAACATGAAAAAGTGTTCAAATTACTGGTCATTGGAGAGATGCGAATGAAAACAATACTAAGATTTCATCTCATTCCAGAAAGTATGACATCAAGAATTCGACCACTAACTAATGCTGGCAGGGGTATAGGGAAAAAGAAATGCTTCTCCACTGTCAGTGGACGTATAGACTGTTGCAACCACTTTAGAAATCAGTGTGGCAATTCCTCCAAATACTAGGATTAGAGTTCCCATTTGACCCAGCTATGCCCCTCCTGGGTAACTTCCCAAAGTAATTAAGAGAATTATACCACAGCAATATATGCACACCCATGTCTATAGCAGCACAGTTTATAACAGCTAAATCTTGGAAATAGTCCAGAAGCCCATCAAATGCTGAATAGATAAAGTAGTGGTTTTGTTTAAATAATAAAATACAGTAAATGGAGTACTACTCATCCATAAAGAATGATAAAACAGACATATTTATAGTTAAATGAGTGCACATTGAGGCTATTCACTTAAGTGAAAGAAATAAGACACACGTGCAAATTCTGAGTATTTTCTCTGTTGTGAGAAACTGAATGTGTAAATGTGTTCCAAAATGTATAGTAGAAAATGTGAAATAGAAAGAAAAGGGACAAAAGAGAAATGAAATTAGGGAGGGGGTGGGGGAAAGGAAAGAATGGAAAGAAAAAATGAGAAAAGAAGAAAGAAACTGGAAACAAATCTTTTGTAAATAGGGAGGGGTTGCAGTGTTGAGGGCTGGGGAATGGGGCAAAAATGAAAACCAAGATGTATCATGTACATGTAGAAATTCACAATGATGAATTTGGTCATAATGTATACCTAAAATGTACCAGCAAATTCAATGAATAAAAAAATGGATACTGAAGCCGTAATGAATGTTAATACACATTTTAAAGGCTATAATTAAAAAGATTAATGCAACCAAAAGGTTATAAAAACACCAAGGAGCCTGGAATTCTCATGCAGTGCTGGAAAATATTTATTTTAACACTACATTGAGAAAACATACAGTACATTGGCGAACACTGCCATTATTTCTAAATCAGTTGATGATTTATCTACTTCAAAATCCATCTTTCACTCACTGTGTAGGATTTTCCCAAAAGAAAATGAAAACATATGTCTACAGAGAATTGTACACAAGTGTTTAAAATGATTATATTGGTACTCCCCCCAAACTAAAAATAACTCAATTGTCTCTGCACAGTGAAAAGGAAAAGCAAATTCTAGAATATCCAAATAATTGAAAAATTACTGATCATAATCCAGCTTGGACAATGTACCTAAAAGTGTAGCCTGACATAGCACAATTATCTTAATTGTTTTATATATATATATTTGGCTTATTAATCTGTTTTTAAATTTGTATATATTATGATAAAGAGTTTGTATATTTTCTTATTTTCTTAATGATGCTAATTATACTTCAATAAAGCTGTGGAAAA